CAGGACCCTCAAGCTCCCAGGCCTCTGGTAGAGGACCCGAGCTTGAAGGATAAACCGCCCGCAGGGGCGTGCTGGGTGTGTGTGTGTGTGTGTGTATATATATATATATATATATGTGTGTGTGTGTGTGTGTGTGTGTGTGTGTGTGTGTGTGTGTGTGTGTGTTTGCTAACCGTCAGTTAGTCTTTAACTTTTAATACTGCACCATCTGAAATGGAGATGAACTACATGAATGCTCCTTTTGTGAATATATTTTTAGCCTGTGCTTACTGCTTCTAAATGCCACGGCTCAAACAAAGTATTATCAGCTAAATGATTCATATTGTATCTCAAAAGTTAATATTATTGTTGCCTACAAACTGACCCAGGATTAGTTCCTTTTTCATAGGTGCTTGTTTCCACCCACAGTCAGGGGGGAACAGAGACTCGAAATGACCCGCAGGTATGAATGAGCTTCTGTACTGTATGTCTGAATGCCTGTATTGATTTCCTTGCCTTCTAAGCAGTCAGTGCAGGGATAGTCTACAGCCCCTCCTGTGACCCTGAAAAGAAACTGGTGGGTGGAGAATAGGAATAACATCAAAAAGTAAGCATGCTGCTTCTTGTTTTTTTCCTCACCATATTCCTGTATTTTCCTGATGTTGCTACACCACTACACAGTGTTTTAGATTTTTTTTTTTACCTTGGTATTTCTGACAACATATTTTTATATCACAAAGAGTTATGATTGGATGTGACTCCTGCCAGTGCCAAAGACACAATATTTCACTGATGTCTTCTTTCATATCTCCGTCCTGGGCTTTCCTACATTTTGAGCTCCAGATTGGATTTGACAAGGACAGACTCAGAGGAGCAGAGATAACCGTGCGCAGTGTGCCCCTGTTCTGCAGGCTGCCTTCATATTTGTAAGCCAATTAACTAGATTAGAAAGCATGATCAATACAGCCACCTTATGCAACCCCGTTACTGTCAACTCATTAGAAAATTAACTACTGCCTGTCACAACAATGCCGATCCAACGCCCACTTTTTCGACTTGATTCTCACAGGATATGTTTTTTCTTTCTCATTAGCCTCACTCTCATTCACACGTTTCATTTATTATCAAACATAGCTTAGCCTATGACATCTGAAGTGACAGCTTGTTTGTGGCTCCTTCCTCTTCAGTTGGATAAGGTCTTTTTAAAGCCTCAGTCGATATTTTCACGGGTATTTAAATGGATCAGCAGCTCTCCAGGTCGACATTGATTTTGACCAACTGAACCCAGAGGAAACCGAGTAATTTGAACCTGGTGGGGTCTGTAGAAGTTTACTCAGCCGTGATCTGAAGAAAGTTTTGACCTGCTCTTGGCAGATGATTTTAGCACATGTGGCCACCGCCAACCCCAACTCCACCGCATCTTTTCTTAAACGACAACCGTTTTAAATCTCCATCTTATCATCAGGTCTTTTTTTTTCTGGGTCGTTATTCAATCGGATCAAGTGAAAGGATGACAGCGGGGTGAGATCATGTCCGACTATCTTTTGGGTTTTTTTCTTACTTTATGTTATAGGTACACTGGATATAACATTTTTTTTGTTTTGCATTATTTCCAGCGGTGGAATTTAAAAAAAAAAAAAAGTAAAGTTATAAGTAAAGTCATAAATAGTATTATTTAGTATTGTTGCTTACTTCCTCTTTGTCGAGGTTTATTTCATTTATTTAATTAAAAATCTATAAATCTCTATATTTTGATAATCAGTTAATCGTGGAGATATTTTTCAGCTTAGTATTGTTTTGCTATTGGCTCCTCCTGTGTGATGATTTCTTCTTTGCCGTGTTTTGAGTCACCGTGCGCTGAATATGGCGGTTTTGAATCTGTGAAATTGCAATCGGCATCATCGCCAAGCCATAATTTCTAACATTAAGGAGATAATTAGCATGTCATTAATATTTGATTAATTGAGAAAGTATGGCTTTTTCCACCGGTTTTTTTCTTCTTCTGACAGTTACATTTTTGTGCCTCTGACTCTCCACTGAAGCTGTTAGGAATAGTTTAGTTTAAGGAGGTATAGCTTAATTTTGGTTCTGCTTTTGCGCCCGCTGTGCTGAAAGTGAGTTTCTAGAGAGTAGCCACAGTGCGCATGGCAAAAGATAGCGTCTGCACCGGAGTGAAAATGTAAATCCTGAGATCTGAAGACTACCCCATCTAAGGACGCATATGGGGATGCTGCTTATCTTCAGCCAAACGCACACCCCCTGGATTCGATGAGAGATTTCACAACACCCGCTGCTGATGGGATGCACTGTGCTACCACCAGTGCCCACGTTTAGACGACAGCTCCGCACTCCTGCAGAACAAGCCTGTGTGGAAACAGAAGACTTTACTTGTAAGGAGGGACGTGGTGATTTTTTTAGACGCACTCATTTGTAACTTAGAGAATCTCGAGCGTCATTGTGATCTTTTGTGTGGGGGATCGTTTTGGTGCAACGGAGGAGGGGTACCCGGTGGATACTACTGCTTGCTTTTGCTCAAAAGAAGCGCGCCCGGTTGGATTTAAGCTGCAGTCCACTTTACGCCAACTGCATTGCCACAAGGAGAGGGGGGGAAATGTATCCTGAAACTAGGCGCCTGTGGCTTTTCGCATTAACTCTTTGATGGATGTGCGGACTTAAATCCACAAGTGGGGTCGTTCTTTGTGCTTTTAAGCTATACATAATATCACTTCACAACTACAATGAGACAACGTGTCGGGAGAGGAATTGTTGCCCGGAGAAGTGGAGCCACAGAGCAGGACAGTGACTTCCAGAGGATACCTACAGACGAGTGAATGCCGTCTCTGATGTGGAGCTTGTCGCTGTCCGACGCGCGAGTGGTGCTGAAATTTGGATGATGCCTGGCCAGCGACTGCAAGACTGCCGCTCCCTGCACCTCAACGAGGACAACGGCCGCTTCGTTTTGCTCGCCATCCTCATTTTAGTGTACCTGCTGTGCGGCGCTGCGGTCTTCTCGGCTATAGAGAGGCCCTCCGAGCTGCGGGCTCACGGGCGCTGGAACGGGACGCTCCTCAACTTCAGTGAGACCTTCAACATAAGCCTGCAGGAGCTGAACTCCTTCCTGCGGGAGTACGAGGCTGCCATCGCCGCCGGAATCCGGGCTGACGCTCTGAGGCCAAGATGGGATTTTACAGGGGCTTTTTATTTTGTTGGAACTGTGGTGTCGACTATAGGTGGGTGATCTCTGCAGCATTCACTAAATTCCCTGACCTCTTGGTCCATTCGGTTGCATCATGTTGTTCTCTCGACAGCATACATGTTGGAAAATATGCATTAGGGCTATTCTACATAAAACCACACACATGCCAAGCCCACATAAAGCTTTGTGTTAATAAAAGAAGAAGAAATTCCAGGGATGCTTGTCAGCCCATGTCGTGAAGACAGGAAACACTTGAATGGGTCTTTGTTACTGGATTGGATTAGAGGTGTTTTATTTTAAATTGTATTCATGATAAATACTGATATCCTTACATTTTGTGTGGATGTCACATAAACTGGAGCTGCTTCCATGAAGGGGGCTTTCTTTCCACTGGCTTACATGCAGAATAAATGATCCAAATTATTGTGTTTTTCTTTCCAATCATGTGTTACATTTTGGCTGTGAGGGACTTTGGCACCGGGGACGGCATCTGACTTGTCTGCCATTTGGAACAGGGATGAGTTCCCTGGCTATAGGACAGCACCCACGGGTGCAACTCTTTTTTTTTTTTTTGGCCACGTTTCTGTTCAAACCAAAAGGAATGTCAATGAGAAGCCCCTTCTGCTCTCACCCCGCCCCCTCCCCATTTAACATTTACTTGTGCAATAGGTCAGAAAAGAGCAAGTGTCCCTCCCAGGGCACCCCGAGGGCCAATACTGTGGTGCACTGCATGCCTGATGGGCTCCAACACCCCCCTCCAATCATGCACACCCGCCCCTCACACCACCACCAGCATCACACCACACCCCGGACAGATAAAGCCGAGCCACAGCTTACAGTGAGTAAATGAGTGAGTGAATGCGAACAAGCAAATGAACACACTCCAGCAGCTGTCTCTGACCTTGGCCTAAACACACAAACACAATCTGTGTATACAGTGTGACACCTTCGGCAACTATTTTTAATTGAATACTGTGGCATAGGGAGTGATAAAAGAAAGCTTATCCACGTGAGTAGGGAACCTGTCACAACTTTATTTACTGTAGACCTGTCAGGAGAGCTTTATTAGTCCTTCTACCTCCTGTTCGCAGACACACAAAGGCACAGACACAGAGCACTCGGGGAGCCCGTGCACTCAGCTCACCGTGTCATGGGAGGGAACCACAGCAGCTGTGTTTGTGTACATGTCTGTGGCAGGTTGAAATCCTTTGTACTCCGGTTGTCAAACTGCATCGCTTTCTTTACCCAACAGGCTGATGATAAAAACTGACTCAGCAGCTTGGGGGGAAAAAGGGAAGGAGAAAAGAATGATGTTATGATGCTTTCTACAATATTTCCTCCTTTTCATGTGTTTGCATGGATTTCTGTCTAGCATTTCATCCTCCTTTGATCTCAACCCGCTCCCCCCCACCCCAACCCTCTGGCTTGTGTGCTACTTTTTTCTGCATGCTTGTGAGATGGTGATATAAAAGGGATTGTGGGGCCTCCCCACACAACTCTTTATCAGAGCGGCATCCCCCTGTGCACTCTAGACTTTCCTCCCAAACACTTCCCGCCTCTGACTCTGCTGTGGCAGAGGCTTCAAATCAGCAGTGACTCTTTGCTCCCCTTGATGTGCCTCCATAGCATCACTTTGAAGAATGAAATAAAGCCGTGGCCACATGATGCATACTTTACCCCGGGATTTGGCTGGGTTCACTGGCCATCGGTGCTGCACACATTGTGTTGTTTTAGAATTTCCAAAAAAAGCTGCGGTAAGTATCAAATCCACTGCAGCTTTTTCCAAAGCGTATGTTGAACAAATGCAACAAAACTAGCACTTTGGCCCAGATTGAAATCTCTGGTGTTCCCTCAGATTGGTTAAACTCTGACTTTTTTTTTTGTATTTTCTGTAGCTGCACATTTCTGGTTTTGAGTGAAATTGTTCAAAAAAGAAGAAATAAAAGTTTGTCCAGAATTTATGCATGAGAGTAGCTGTGAGGAGCACATCTGCCTTCTGCCTGTATGAGGATATAGGCGGGGAGAGCAGAATAAACGGGGCAGGCATCAGATAAGACACCGATTAAATCTGAGATAGCATGAGCTGAGGTGGAGGTGGCTGCAAAGTGACTTGCACTGAACAGGCCAGTTAAATGGTCTTAAATAGCATGACCCATATGAGATTTGACAGTTGGATGCATAGAAAGGTATCGGCTGAGCTGTCACTTAACGTAGGTTGGAACTGAAAACAGCTGCCGGGATAACAGCTGAGCATGGCTGCTCGATATGCTTGATTTGGTGAGCAACGTTAGCACTACCTGTCATATACACAGCAGTATAATGACCACTTCACACAGTGCTGCCATTCAGTGTCACTTCCGATTAGTCCCAGTAATCACTCAAGGGGAGGCTACAATAAGAAAAAAACAAGCTTGAGGCACAAAAAGCATTTCCCTGTTGAGAAGCCCTGTCAGAGAAACATCTGTAAAATTTCTGACAGGTGAACTCCAACTACAAACATTAACTTTTCTATCATGAATTCTTGAACAGCTGTTTATCTATGTTTCCTGTGAGCGGAGTTTCTGTGTGGTGAGTGGGAATGGATGGGACATATACAGCCAGGGCCAAGTGCATTAATGTGGAAGCAAAGTTATAAGCTCCTGCATATTTAACTCAAAGCCACCTACACACTCAAAAACACCCCACACAAGTATCTAATGTGTGTCTAGCATGAAAATATAGACTGTTATACTCTTTTCAGCCTTCTTGTATTGGTTGTATTGTATTGCCCCATATTTCTGGTTACTGTGTTTGAACTCACATTAAGGAGGGCACAAGAGTTGCATCAATAAAATGGATATTTATAGCCTTCAGGGCTGATTGATAGATGCTAGCTGCCAATTAGGACAGCTCTCTGTAGTCTTTTGAGAGCCTGTATGTCTCATTTTGAGTACCTATAATGGAATTTAGGAGAAACCCTTAGTCACTTTTACAGTGCTGGCAATGAAAATACTTGCTTGAGAATTAAGCAGCAAGGGAAGAGAATCAATTAGATTGAGAACTTTTAGCTTGTTGGGAGTTATTAAGCAGGTTAAGGCTGTTAGTTGTTCAGCAGTTTGTAACATTCAGTTGCAAATTTGGATTGTGTTCTGAACTGTTTATTCCTGAGGATAAACTCTGTCCTGCCCCTGGCAGCCACTGCAGCATCCTGCTCTATCACACCTATATCCACAAAGGCAGACAATGCAAATAGTAGTTTAACACACAGCACACAAAAGAGCCACATGCAGTTTCTTTTGCTTTAAATAAATCCTCACTGAACCTGCAGAAAAATTTCAAAATTAAGAGGAATGTCAGAAATGGACAAGACATAATCCTGCTTGATCCTGGCTGTACAGAGTAGCTACTGAGATGAAATGTGATCATTACGAACAAACTGTCCTCATTAGCCTGATGGCTTTGAGCTTACTGTAGTGTTATGATGATATCATAACATAATAAGTGCCATAAAAACCCCGTTTTGTATTTATGTGTCAGATCACATTGAGAACACCTCTCAAAAGTGTAACTTAAAGTTGCATTAAACAACATTTCGACATTAGCAATCCCTTTTATGTGTTATACGTTACACAGAGAGGGATGCTGCATAAATCTCTGGTTTCCAGTCAACTCTTCATGTGTTTTAGCTGCGTTTAGCTCTTAGATCTTTTAGTCTTTTAGTCTCACTGAGAGGCTCATTTAATTGTTTCCTGTGAGCTGTTAATTAGCAAAGAACCCCCTTGTGGAGTACACTAAATGTCCAGGTCTAAACAGTGGACAGACAAAGATAGAGATTAGTTGGTGAACATATTAAAGCACACAACAGCTTAAGGACCAGGTGGTGCCCTGAGTGGTTGAAAGAGCTAAAAAGGAAAGTCACTACTGGATTGGTCTGATTGAGATATTAAAGCATAAGAGTAAACGATGCTTGTTGGATTACTAGTATGATGTTTACAGCATGTTCTACTCTCTTATTGACCACCATTTTTTTATAGAGTGCTTTATTCTAGGGGATTCTAACACTTTATCTTACATGCTTGGTCAATTTAGATTTGCCAGTTAAACTAGCTTGCATGTCTTGCACAGTATCCAGAGGAAATCCACGCAGGCACAGAAAGGCCCAAACCAGGTGACAGTGCTCAAAACCTGGCTGAAAGTGTCTTTGTTTGCCCAAATGAGTTTAAAATATACCCTGCTATGCTAATACAGCACATCTGCCAGGACAGCCGTCTAATATTTCATGAAACGAGATACATGGACAAAATATGTCAGTCCCTCAACTGAACTGGGGGCTGCAAAGTTGGTTCAGCAGAGTTTCTGAATTTGTGTTTATAGTCAGATTATGACTCTATTTCATGAATCCCATAACAGGAAAATTATTTTTTGAAGCAGTGTGTGAATATGCATTACTCTGCCAACTTTTCTAAAAGTCAACACCAAAAGTATCTGCGAAATCACGATGTATTCAGTCCAGCAGAGCGATAACCGATTCCTGTTAATAAGCAGCAGATCTGACTTAATGCCTCCGCTGCAGAAGGACAGGTTTGTTTTTTAACAGTCATTATTTCAAACATGATCACTTTGTAATCTCATAAACCAGCAATCAAAAAGCAATCAAAGCCATTCTGGCATTATATTGCATTTGTATTATAACTAGGTGACGATTAGAAAAAAAATTGTTAACTCAAGAAAGCTACAAGCGTGTTATGTAATGATAAATGTAAGAAAAGATTTAGAAACATTATAATCTTCAGCGTTTCTGGAGTGTTAGTAGACAATTAGGCCTAATGGCTTAGAGGGTATTATTCTCCTCATCTTCTGGTGCCAATTTAAAAAGTGCTAATTTGGCAGTCTCATTGAGTCTCACTGAGTCACACTTGTGAGGTTTGTGTGACCATGCCTCTCTGACCAAGGCCCGATGTATGTGCAAACCAAATTTGTTCTGTACTGTGCTGTCTTTTAATTCGTGTGCCTCTGAGGTTATAAGACAATGTCACCTCAGTCTGGTGAAGCGTG